ACAAAACGGCGATACTAACAACTGCATATGGTTGAACCCGTGGCCAGGATAACTGGCAAGGACGGCGGGGGTTGTGGCGTATGGCCTGCTCTGCGTAGGCCCACCAGACACAATGATTGGCATTGGTTTCGACAAGGATGGTGGGGGCCGACATATTTCCCGACGTGTGCTGTCGCAAACGACGGCGCACCTGACACACTCTGCGCGTGACCCGAACGCGGAGCAACTGAAGTATGCGACACACCTGGCGCACGCGGAGCACGTGGCGCATCTGGCGCACAAGGCGTGCATGGCACGCTCGGGCCCGAGGGGTGCCTGGCGCGCGTGGAGCACCTGGCACGCGTAGCGCACCTCGCCCAAGCGTCGCGCACATGGGGGAAATTCCGGTTCCCAGTAGCTGTCCATCCAAAGACGCCCGCTGAACATGCTCAGGCTCGGGTGTTACTCATGTGTAGGGAGGGCGGGTGGGGGTGAGCTAGACGGTTTGCTATCTAGGAGGTGCCTTAATCACTGATGCTCATTAATATACACCCCCTCCCCCAGGCGACCGGGGACCAACCAGACACCATGTCGACACCATGCCGACCCGCACCCCACCATCCCTGTCAACAAACAATCCGAACCGCATTCTGCCTCCACATGTCGAGCATGCGCGGCCACCCCGATGCGCCCCCCCCCACCCCCCACCCCCCACCAGTCACCATTCTTGTCAACAAAACAATGCAACGTATACATAGGGACAAAGTCTTGAGTCATGTTCGTGAGGCCAACGAGGACACTTCGCACTGCTTTCGACAAGGACGGCGGGAGTGTCAGCATATTCCCTGTTGTGCGCAGGGCTACCATCCCTGACGAAAAAATGCAACATGCACCTCGCGTCCATACCGCGATCACTGTCAAGCTGTTTCTGACAGGGGCGGCGGGGGTGGTGGCGCGTGGCCTGCTGTGCGCGGGCCCGCCAGACACAATGATGGGCACCGGTTTTCGACAAGGATGGCGGGGGCCAACATGTTTCCCGATGTGTGCTGTCACGTGCGCAGGCGCACCTGACGCACTCTGCGCGTGACCCGAACGCGGAGCACCTGGCACGGCTGGAGTGTGCGGAACACCTGGGGAACTCGGAGCAAGTGGCGCATCTGGCGCACCAGGCGTGCAAGGCACGCTCGGGCCCCAGGGGTGCCTGGGGCGCGTGGAGCGCCTGGCAAGCGTAGCGCACCTCGCCCTAGCGTCGAGCACCTGGGGTTGGCGTTGGTTTTCAGTAGCTATCCATCCAAAGACGCCCGCTGAACATGCTCAGGCTCGGGTGTTACTTATGTGTAGGGAAGGCGGGTGAGCGTGAGCTAGACGGCTTGCGGGCGGGCGGGTAGCTTGACCCTCCCCCTACCCCGCCCCCCTGGGTCTGGAGGGGAAGGTGGCGGGTCGTTGGAGAATCCGAGCTGGCCTCGGCGAGGAAACACAAATCAATGAATTTACCAAGACTGAACGCCGGCCGGCAGTAGACCGTCAACCAAAGTTACTGCCGAGGAACTCGTAGAGCTTCTGTCCGAGCACAGACGCCTCTAGAAATGAACGCACAAGCGATTGAAGTGAGATTACGTTGTTTTAATCATAGCTCGAGAAGGAGGCCGATCACCTGCTCTAAGTCTCGAGATGAAGATCGTCAACCAACCGCGTGTCAAACGAATGTTGTAGAGCGCGAGTAGTTATTCGGTCATAGCTCGGATAGGAGACCGAGCTGGCCTCGGCGAGGAGGCACAAGTCAGTGAAATTACAAAGATTGTGGCAACATTGAGGATTATCGTCCTTTGATAGTCTCCCCCAAGATGGCCCAAAGATGACCCAGAAGGCTTGCAAGGTGGCCCCCGACGCTCCCAAGAGGACCCAAGATGGCCCCAATAGGTGCCCAGGAGGCCTCAAGAGGCCCCCAAGATGCCCCCAACATGCTCCCAAGAGACCCCAAGACGCCCAAAGATGCATCCCAGAGGCACCAGGGACGCCTCGGCGAGAAGGCCGAACTCATTTGTTAGACTAATATGTTGGCCACATGTTGGCCTCCTGGGGGGGGAGAGCATGATTAAGGAGCTCCCTCGATTGATCGGTCTCCTCCAAGATGGCCTCCCGAGGCTCCCGAGGGTGCCCGAAGAGGGCCCCACGAGGTGCCCAGGAGGCCCCAACAGGCACCCAAGAGGCCCCCCCAAGGACGCTGACAGGCTCTTAAAAGACCCCTGAGAGGCCCCAAGAGGCTCCCAAGAGGCCCCCAAGAAACCACCAAGAAGAGGATCCCAAGAGGCGGCTCCCAAGGGTGCCCCCAAAAGCCCCCAGAGGCCCCCCAGAGACGCCCAGACGCCGCAAGAAGCCCTCGGGGCTGCCAAAAGACCCCCAAGACGTCCCAAGAAGACCCCAAGAGACTCCCGAATCCGAAAAACAATCCGAAGAAAATCCGGGAGGCATCCAAGACGCCACTGGTCTTTCTGCTCGCCCTCCTCCTGCTGCTGCTGCTCATCCCTGATCAGGGCAACTCGTCGGGGCCTCATTTCTGGATGGGCTGGTGGGGTTACGCGAAGGGTATAAAACAGTGATTTTCGCAGAATACACAAACAAGACTTAACAAGTTCGAACATATAACTGCGAACATTCGATCCATGTGTACATAAGTCCGGCGGAACAAGACAAGCTTAGGTTACATCAGTTATGTTGTCGATTCCCTACTCGAGCGGGGATGAAGGGGGGAGGTGCTGGGAGGGGACCTCCCCTCGAAGTATTCAAAGATATGCGAACATGCCTGGGGATGTTTTCGGGCCCAGGGTGGTGTACACCAGATCTGCCTCTTCGAGAGCTGTCCAAACCAGAATTGTCCGAAGCGGCCTATTGGGGCCCAAAGCGTGGCCCGAACTTCTATCCTGGCGAAGGACCCAAGCATATGCAGTTGTGAGTACCGCAGTTGTGAATATCTTCATCGGTGGCGCTCCCTACGGGGCCACGGATCCACGAACCGTATGAGGGGTGTGCCGAAGTGTGGCGGGGCACACTACACGAACGAAGACGCTTTGTCGAATTACGAGAGACTGAGCGGGCGAGACTGGGAACGAGTGAGCCTGAGTGTGCATGCGTCTGCATGCGAGTAGATTTGCGTGAATGCGAACATGGATGCGCCTAGTGTAAATGTATATGAATGTGGATGGTTCGGGTGCGCCTGACTCTGAGTGCTCGTGACACTGAGCGTGGCCGCCGCAGGGAGCTTCCCCGGGAACCCCGACGGCAGCGCCTGCACGCCGCGATGCACTTGTCGGCACGCTCCTCACGGGGATCGAACCTGCTTCCTTCCCTTTTTTTCCTCCCTCTTTGCTGGCGCACTCCAAAGCCCAAGGCTGCGGGCGCAGCGCAGCGCGGAATCCCCGCGACGCGCGCAGGTCGCCATGGAGGGGTCCCAGCGACGCGCGCGGGTCGTTCGCTGCGCGGAGCAAAACAGTACTGGGGGCCACGAAGCGATCTACTGGGTGTGGGAGACGCGTGCGGGCTGCGCCACTGGGATATTCGGTGAAGCTCCCCATGGGGCCACGAAGCGCTGTACCGGGTGTGGGAAGCGCATGCGGGCTGCGCCACGGGGACCTTCGGTGCAGCTCCCTATGTGGCCACGAAACGCTGTACTGGGTGGGAGAGACGCATGCGAACTGCACCACTGGGGCGTTCCGTGGAGCTCCCCATTGGGCCACGAAGCGCTGTACTGGGCGAGGGGGACGTATGCGAACTGCGCCGCTGGGACCTTCGGTGGAGCTCCCTATGGGGCCACGAAGCGCTGTACTGAATGAGGAAGACGCGTGCGAACTGCGCCAGTGGGACCATCGCTGGAGCTCCCTATGGGGCCACGAAACGCTGTACTGAAAGGGGGCAAACGCATGCGAACTGCGCCACGGGGGCCTTCGGTGCAGCTCCCTATGGGGCCACGAAGCGCTGTGCTGGGTGTGGGAGACGCATGCGGGCTGCGCCACTGGGGCGTTCGGTGGAGCTCCCTATGGGGCCACGAAGCGCTGTACCGGGTGGGGGAGACGCATGCGGGCTGCGCCACTGTGACCTTCGGTGGAGCTCCCTATCGGTGGAGCTCCCGACGGGGCCACGAAGCGCTGTACTGGGGGAGGAAGACGCATGCGAACTGCGCCACGGAGACCTTCGGTGGAGCTCCCTATGGAGCCACGAAGCGCGGTACTGACTGGGGGGGACTCATGCGAACTGCGCCACGGGGACCTTCGGTGCAGCTCCCTATGGGGCCACGAAGAGCTGTGCTGGGTGGGGGAGACGCATGCGAACTGCGCCACGGAGACCTTTGGTGGAGCTCCCGATGGGGTCACGAAGCGCTGTACTGGGTGGGCGAGACGCATGCGAACTGCGCCACGGGGACCTTTCGGTGGAGCTCCCTATGGGGCCACGAAACGCTGTACTGGGTGTGACGATGATGGTGATGATGACGGCGATGACGATGACGATGACGATGACGATGACGATGACGATGACGACGACGACGATGATGATCATGATGATGATGATGCTGATGATGATGATGCTGATGATGATGCTGATGCTGATGCTGATGCTGATGCTGATGATGATGATGAGGAGGAGGAGGAGGACATGCGGAGGGCAGAGGCAAGGGATGGAGGGAGAGGAGGGAGGAGAGGCGGGGCGCTGTCTCTTCAAAACGAGGACACAACACCACAGGATGTTTGGGGACAACAAACACGACGGAGACTCTACGCGTTTTTCGGCCTCCTTGGGCCCTGGCTTGGCGCAAGGACCGTCAACAAACGACTCAGGACGAAGAGCCGATCCCAGGGAAGGGGTCCAGACCTCTGGGAAGCCACATTGGGAAACCAAACGCGACGTCGGACCTGGCGAAGGCGTAGTTTGAGAGGGGACCTCGCGTCCACAGAAGGAGAGTACTGAAATTCTGTACAAACTCGGATTTTCGGAAATGCGCGCGGATGTCCTGGGTCGGTGCTGGACACCTTGCGCCTCAAGCGCCGCCCCCAACGCGATCCGCGTGCAATTTTTGTTCCTCGCGACCTCGCGGGATGTGCTTGGCCATTCTCGACCACGGGAGCCATGGCCGGGCCCCCGGGGTTGTCACAAACATTTGCCCTGGGGGTCAGGGCATCCAACTGGCCACGTTGTGAAGAAACCAGCATGTCGAATCGGGAGTCGCGAGGGAGCCGGCATCCACGCCAAGCAGTATCCGTCTCCGCCGATGTGGTGACCTCGAGCCCAAAAGGCAGGAATGAATCCCAGATCGTTGGATAGGCATCGAAATCCAGAAAAGCAGCTCAGAGAAAAAAAGGAAAAGGAAACGGGAGGGAGCGGAGAGAATGGAGGTAAGAGGGGAGGGAAGGGGAGGGGAGGGGAGGGGAGGGAGGACGAGGAGAAGGGAGGAGGAAAAGGAGAGAGAGGAGGAGAGGATGTCGTTCCCCCCCCTCTCCTCCTTCACCCCATCCTCCCCACCCGGTCCAGGAGAACAGCAAATACCGATACTGCTACCCCCTTCGGATAACAAAATCTCAAGGCGAATCTAACCGTGGCGACGAGGGCCTCCCTGGAGGCTCAATACGGCGAATGCGAGGAACGAGCTGCGGTGTCGATACCTTTTACGCACCTGACTCCCTGCAAACTCCCCCGTCTTCCTCCAACTCCTCCTCCTCCTCCTCCTCCTCCTACTCCTCCTCCTCCTCCTCGTGTTCCTCCTCCTCCTCCTCCTCCCTCCCCCTCCCCTCCTCCTCCTCTCCCTCCTCCCCTCCTCCTCCCTCCCTCCTCTCCTCCTCCCTCCTCCTCCTCCTCCTCCCCCTCCCCCCCTCCCCCTCCTCCTCCTCCTCCTCCTCCCTCCTCCTCCTCTCCTCCTCCTCCTCCTCCTCCTCCTCCTCCTCCTCCCCCTCCTCCTCCTCCCAAGGCCAGGGCGAAGGCCGGTGGCTTCTGCCCACGTCCTGAACGCAGCCCTCCCGCCTAGGGGCCGCTGCCCTGGGGCGGGGCGTGATCAAACGAGAGCCTCTAGATCAAGAGGTAGAAAGCCACGAGTGGCGAGAAAGGCAAAGGAGACGCCACGGGCGACCAAGGATCTGCACCTCCTCCTCCTCCTCCTCCTCTTCCTCCTCCTCCTCCCCCTCCTCCTCCTCCAGACTAACGAGCCGCATAAGCATAACTCTTCCGAAGTTCGCGCAAAGTTCTTGGATCTGCGCTGGACCCCCCTCCCTGGCACGCTCCGCGCGCCAGGGGCGGCACCAGAAACGCCGCCAGCGCCGATCCAAGAAATCCGCGAGAACATCCGAGCCGAAAAGTAGTTCCTCTTGAACCCGAGATGTCGGAAGCGCGGTACCGACCAAGTAAACGGATGTATATTGCGGTCGCTTCGAACAGGGGCGTGCAACATGCTAAGGATGGGAGAAGATGCGGGAATTGGCCGGACCCGCTTTGGCGTTCGAGCAACCGTACGTTCTAGGAGGAGCTTGCACCCACATGGCCCCGAGAGACGCCCAAGAGGCGCCCAGGAGGCTTCACAAATGACCCTCAGAAGGCCGGCTGAGAGGCGCGAAACCCACACGAGCGACAATGAAAAACTGGTCTCACGCGAGATGGCACAACGACCTCACGCGGCAACTTCCGCGGGCCGCCGACGCGGCACGCTGCATTGGGGACGCCGGCGCCATCCCGGGGAGAGGGAAAGAGTAGGGGAGGAGCGAAAAAGGGGGGTGGGGGGAAGGGGGGGTTTCAACCCCCCCCCTCCGTCACGGGAAAGAGGGGGGGGCTCAAACCCCCCCCACATTAAATCCAGGGGGGGGGCCCGGTTCCAAACCCCCCTCCACCCCTCCAAGCGACCACAGAACGCGCTCTGTTATAGGCCTGGAGTGCTACAGTGCTACTTCGCAGGATGCTGGAAGGTGCACTGGCGTTTCTGAATAATGGACCAATTGGGTCGTTGCTGGGATCCACGGTGGTAGCACTGTAGCATCGCGACCCGCTTGCCGCGCCATCGTGCCGCAGCTGTCTTGGAGCGGATGGCGCCCGTGGCGCCCTCGGCCCCTCGCCCCGAGGGCCTTGCTGGCAGCTCCCGCGGGGCCTGCCAAACCCCACGGCGCGAATTTGGACGCCCGAAATGGGTACCCAAAGAATGGGTGCAGTGCCCAACAACTGTGGTCCCGAACCAACAGCGGCCGCGGTTGGGCAGGCGGCCCTCTGCCTCGAATGAGCACAGGCCGCGGCGGCGTGGACAGCGAGTCCTGTTCAAAATGAAGAAGATCCGCTGTTGGGCATTGTACCCACTCTTTCCGTGCCAATTTCGTTCGTGCAGAGAAGGAGGAGGCGGAGGAGGAGGAGGAGGAGGGGGAGGAGGACGAGGAGGAGGAGGAGAGGAGGAGGAGGTGGAGGGGGGGGGAGGAGGAGGAGGAGGAGGAGGAGGGAGGAGGAAGAGGAGGAGGAGGAGGAGGAGGAGGAGGAGGAGGAGGAGGAGGAGGAGGAGGAGGGAGGAGGAGGAGGAGGAGGAGGAGGGGAGGAGGGAGGAGGAGGAGAGGAGGAGGAGGAGGGAGGAGGAGGAGGAGGAGGAGGAGGAGGAGGAGGAGGAGGAGGAGGAGGAGGAGGAGAGGAGGCAGGAGGAGGAACAAAATCGTCCGCCCGGGGCCGCACGAGCCGGGGCGCGGCCCCTCCGCCCGGGGGGGCGCGCGGGTGGGCCCGCCCCGCGCGCCTCGGCCCCGGCGGCCCGGCCGGGCGCCCCGCCGCTGGGCGCTCGGGCCCCCGCGGTCTCTGGGCGTCGCCGTCGGGGGGGGGGGGAGGAGGAGGAGGAGGAGGAGGAGGAGGAGGAGGAGGGGAGGAGGAGGGGAGGAGGGGGAGGAGGAGGAGGAGGAGGGGGAGGAGGAGGAGGAGGGGGAGGAGGAGGAGGAGGAGGAGGAGGAGGAGGAGGAGGAGGAGGAGGAGGAGGAGGAAGGAGGAGGGGGGGTGGAGGAGGAGGAGGAGGAGAGAGGGGGGAGGGGAGGAGGAGGAGGAGGAGGAGGAGGAGGAGGAGGAGGAGGAGGTGGAGGAGGAGGAGGAGGAGGGAGGAGGAGGAGGAGGAGGAGGAGGAGGAGGAGGAGGAGGAGGAGGAGGAGGAGGAGGAGGAGGAGGAGGAGGAGGAGCGGAGGAGGGGGGGAGGAGGAGGAGGAGGAGGAGGGGGAGGAGGTGGAGGAGGAGGAGGAGGAGCAGGAGCAGAAAGCCACCGCGGCGTGCACTCGCCGCCCCGCCCGGCCAGCAGAGGGCGCGCAACTGGCAGCGGCCGGCGCGCCGGCCGGGCCGCCGCCTCGGGCGTCCATGCCCCGTGCATGGTTCGGCTGCGTGCGCGCACTCTGCACGAGAGGGGCCAGGATGCTCCTCGATGCTCCTCGCCGAGACGAGCTGCAGACGTCCGAGCGGTGCCAAGACACCAAGAGAGCATCGTTTAGCGGAGGAGCAGGACGGGACGACGGGAGGTTCTGTATTTGTGTTGGCCTCCAGGGGCCCTTGCCAAGCCTCGGGGCCGTCCATCGAAAAACCAATCCCTGGGGGTGTCCAGACCGCTGGGGGTCCACGTAATGAACAAAAAACAGGACGGATTGTTAATCTATCCCCATCCAACACTGCTCTGACATTGGCCCCAATGGCCGATCTACCCCTCTGTAGTGGGGATCTACGCTGTTCCCCTCGGGTTTCGCGGGGCCTATCCCCATCTTGGGGGGTGGTCTGGCGGGGTGGAGGTACCATGGCCAAGTGGGAATGGGGATCGGATAAACGCCGCGGACCAGGGGAGAACTACGATCGAAATGGGCACGGGGAGATTAGGGAAAGAAGACCGACAACATATCCTGCCCATTCTGAATAGGAATCGCCGTCGGTGTCGCTTTCGTCGTCGGGGGAGGGGAGGGCGACGCTGCGCACAAGGGGGGAAATGCCCTGAACTTCCAGAGTGGTACAACACAGCCCTCTAGACCCGTAGACCCATCTGGACTGCCAAAACCCTTCACAGGAGTTTGCATGTCGAGGTCCTGGTGTTATGTTTCAGCCCTCCTGGTGGATTAGTCCCTGGACATACTCCCGGGGTGCGTTCTGACCAACATGTCGAGGCGAGCCCAGCGATGGCGAGCTTCCCAGGAGACCCCAAACAGGCGTAGAAATCCGCTGAGCCTACCGCCTCCCTCCCTCGAAGAGGCCCCCTGTAATTCACCAAATGTTCGACGATGTGTGCTAGCTTCAGTCCCGGCGCCCTTCCTCGATCTCGGCGGCGACAGGCCCGTGTTCCATCGGGCCCCGGGGCCATCAACAACAATGACCGAGGACAGAATGCGAGGCGGGAGTGTATCCATATCCACCGCCTGGGAACCGACGCCCTGGTGCCCCAGCGGGCGGTGGATATGGATATAGATTGGGCCCCGAGGGCTCGAACCTCTCCATATCCACCGCCTGTGAAGTCCGCGAGGATCGATCCCCCAGGCGGTGGATATGGGCAAATCCCCGCCTCGGAGAGAACTACTTCCTGGGAGGCGGTCGGCATTTCTGGGGCAACGGACTGATTGCAAAAAACCACAGCGGCGGCGGTGCCCGCAAGCGTATTCTAAACGACGTCTGGGCGCGCGCATCGCCCCCGCGGAGCCGAGTAGCCTCTGACTGTGCGCAGGTCTGAGGAGGGCGGGGAGGCCCGCTGCAACCACCGCGTGGACGCGCTATGAGCACTCTAAACAAAACATGTAAGTCCCGAGCAAATGGCACCGATATTGGCCTCGCACCTCACCTGCGAAGTACCCTTTCGCTACACCAGCCGTCCGCTTGTCGTCACCTATGGCCGCAGCCACGAATTACACCACGCCACAACTGCAATGGACATCTGTCGTACAACACGTAACTGGTCTCAACGCTGACAAATAAATATTCCTATTTATATATTTTTACAAGGCCGGGGACCCCGGAAAAACGGCACACGGTGCCCCCCCAAAAAACTAATTTCGGCCTCCCCGAGCCTTTGGGGCGCTCCTGCAGAGTGCTCCGTGTCTGTCCTGCGAATGCGACGCGAAAAAAAAACCTACGACGGCCAAAGAGGGCCCCGAGACACCCAAAGATCGAC